CCCACGTGACGGGAGCTGGGTTAGTGCCTTTCCTTCAGGAGCCCTTGTGTGTGCCCCCCCCCGCCCACCCCTTGTGCTGCCAGAGGGCTTTTGCATTTGCTTACTTAAAAGTCCAGCGCTCTTGCTGAGATTCAAGGCGGAGGTCTGTAATTGTTTTTGCGCTGTAGCACAAGAGCATTATCATGGTCTGTTGCCACGGAGGGACTAGAAGACGACCCTGGCAATAGATCTCTGTCCTGTTACTGCGACAGCAAGTGTGGATTTAAAGAACAAAAGCACCTTTCAGGCTGGGGGTGGGGGTGGTGGTAAGGGAGACGGTGCCTCCGGTCTCCCTGTCTGCCCTTTGCCCCTCCGAAGCTGACCCTTCTCAGTGCCGCCCCACCATGGCTTCCGCCCCACAGACGGGGCAGAGGGGAAGGCCACGGGTGGTCCAAGACATGCCTGGCATCGGTGGGGGCCCAGTGGGAGCAGCTCAGTGCTGTTGCTGAGGCCAGAGCCGGGGCTCCTTTCTGGCCGTGGGCATCCCGGCCGGGCCGCCTGTGCCAGTGGGTGGTGGGTGGGCTCCGGCTGACCCCCTCTCCGGCCCCTCTGACGGCGGCTGTCGTCTCTCCCCTTCTGCAGGCGGAGGGGAAGGCTGTGCTCATCACGGGCTGTGACAAGGGATTTGGCCACGCCCTGGCCAGGCTCCTGCATGACAAGGGATTCACGGTCTTTGCCGGGTGTTTGCTCAGGGTGAGTACCCACCGGGCACGGCCAGCCACACCGGACGGGGGGGCTTGGGGGGGCAGGGCACAGGGAAGGGTCAGAGGTGGCCACGTGCAAACTTGGGCGCTTGTGGCGAAGCTTGCCTGCATGTCCGTGGCCACAGCTGCCCACTGGGCCCAGACAAAGACTCCTCCACTCAACAGGGTCCTGGCTCAGCTCTGGGTTAGGCCTTGGATCGGGGTGAGGAGGGCAGAGGAAGGATGCGGAGGCCTTCCAGACAGTGAATAGGCCACCCAGCCCCCTTCCCCATGGGCTGAAAGGAGGGCAAGGAGCAACGGGCTGCAGCTGGGGTGGTTTAGCAATACAGAACCTCAATATCTTAATAAAGTGGGGTGAAAAGGAAGGCGCCAGCAACTCTTGAGGACGTCTGAAGGGCCAGATCTGCCTCTGGGGCCTCTGGAATTAAGGCGCAGTTGAGGCCTGCCCCCTCCCATCATGGTGCTCTTGTGG